GCATCCGCGCACGGTTCTGCTCTGAACGACCTTGTCTGTGACGTCAAGAGTTAGGTGGGCGTCAGATAGGAAGGACCACCACAAGGCTTCCCGAACACGGCGTACACTGGATCCAATAGTGTTTTACACTGCAAGTATGACGAGTAGCATGGTAAATAGTCATATGCCGGTTTCCGTTATATTTAAATGGTTAGAGCAGGCGGACGCTCGTACTTCCCGCGTTTGCTTGTTTTTCTAAAGTGAAAGCCAAGTGCTGTCCCCTGTAAACCGTAAGGGAAAAGCTCCTTAGGCCTTTTTGATAGTGTTTCCCTTTATAGGTTTATATGGGAAGTCTTCGAAAAAATGCAGTCTTTCTCTACGCCAATAGAAGACTGCGTTGCTTTACTTTGTACTTAGCTAATTGCCGAAATACGATAAATCGCAGGAAGGTGGAGCTACCACTATCACAGATGGCATTATAATCAGTATCTGCACTTTCTTATGCATTAGGTTTCTTCTTAACTTCCCTTTCAGACATGCTACGGAGCAACCAAAGCCAGAGAAAGCTGAAGCTGCCGTGCCGGTGGCAGCTGGAGAAGCCGCGTCTGGTGAGGGTCAGGCCGTAGAGGGTGGAAAGACCAGTAGCCGACGCAAATCACAGAAAAAGTAGACGTTCCCACTGAAAGTAGTTCAACGCCATGGCCATCGACGCGGTAGTAAACAATGCTGAATTTACGTCAATCATGTGTGTTTGCAGCACACAATAGACGGTTTTACTTTCGAGGTTTTTAGCGTTTTAGTTAAACAAACACACACACGTACACGTACGCCCGTGCTTCTCTCTCTCTCATCCATATCTACATGCCTTCTGCAACACGCGCTAGTGCGCACACCGCTTTCCGTTCAGTTGAATTAAGACATCAAAAATCATAGCTTGCCGCACTCTGTCACCGGTCTCCTTCCATCCGCCGACTTCTCTCTGCTGCTGCCGCTTCCAATTGTCTGTCACCACCACCACCATCCTCATACGCCGCCGCTGCTGCCATCAACTTGCCGCTAATCTTCAACAGCAGCCACAATGACGACAACAAGATGAGCGCATCAATGTTGATCGGTAGAGATGGATCAAGGATTTTATCAACGCCAACCAGTGTTTTGTTTCTGATGTCGCGCAACCAGTCACCTTGTGAACACGCAACTTTTCTTCCAAACTCGGGATTTTCCTCCTCCTTAAAGCACCCACTAAGCTCCTAGCGTGCAGGCAATCCAGCAACACCACGTTCTCGTCTCGCATTTCGGGTGCATTTTGTTTTAGAACACATCCACTCAGCGTCCCTCTTCTCTCTAACAAGAGTCGCTCATCCTCCCTCCCCCTTCTTTTCTGACGTTTCCCACTTAAGACTTTCTACCTGGTGTCACACTGCCAACGACTACCCCTCCTTTTCCCCAACATTTTTTTACTCGGTTCCCGCCCCCCGCGGTGTGGATTAGGATGTAGCAGGCACCAATTCCCCGTCCACGCGCGCGGTGGTTGTAACCTGAGCTTGTGCCAATATCTGGCAGAGGAGACCCCTTCCCTCCCACCCCCGCCACCCGGCTCTTTTTTTCCCGCAGTGCCTATGGCGTTATTTTTTGCGTTTGTTTGTCGGTGGAGCATTGTTATTTTTTTCTACAAATTTTCAGTAGAGAAAAAAAGACCACGTACGCGCCTCCCCTTTCACCCATATGTTAGGGCCACATTTGGGTGTCTCTCTGTTTCCGGTGCTCAAGGATCTGTAGTTGGGCATCGTTTCATTCGTGGGGACACTAAGTAAGGAGATGATTCTAACTCGCAAAAAAACAGCCTTCAGTTGGTTCAGGGAATCGCCTTTGGCTGCCTCTAACAGTAACAGTACCGGATCGCGAAGTTTTCCTTCATCTGACTCTCCAGCCTGCGTAGCTCAGTACATCGCGTTTAAAAGGTAGATTACATTCCCGTGTTTCATGCGATTTCTCGACTGGGAAGCTGTTTGAAGACAATGGCCAGTTTTTGGTCGGAGCGCATTCTCTCCTGCGTGATCTTCGTCAGTTGCCGTAGGATTACAGGACCAGCTACCACAATCACTATGTTCTGGACTGTGAACGTCAAAAGCCTCCGCAGTTCTGGGTTGTTTATGTAGTGTTGGCTGGCGGCAGGTGTTCCCTCTGGTGGTTTGGCATTCCTGCGACGCGTCGCTCGTGAGTTTACTTAACCCACAGTACTACTCTGTGCTTAACATGCTTACGACTGGTCATATTTAAACCCCCTGATATATACATTTTCGTGTCTCTGTGAGAATAGTTGGATAACATGCATTCCTAGGTTACGTTTTAACTCATGCGGTAATTCTTGATTTCCTTGAGAGCTTTCCGAGAGTATATCACCGGCGCTACGATTTTTTGGGTGGGGGGGATGCTTTTATGTGTCGAGTCTGTGGTCAGATGAAAGCCGATAACCTGCACGACGTTGGCTGGTTAGTTCTCAGGGCCTGCAGTCCAAAAATAAGGTCAGGGTGACCGTAGCCATTGTTTGGAGACCTGTCGCCTTCATATTTTTTTCGCACCGGCAGATCTTAAAATAGGTGTCCGTAAATATCTGTTGGGCGGATATTTTTTGGCGTTGCTTGGTTTCGAGCGAAATTAAGTGGTGTCGCTTTTTGAGATGGCCCCATCTTCTTGGTTTGAGCTTTCGGATATTTTTGGATGGCTACTTTTATCGATTCCCCTCACCGACTGGAGAGCTTGCTCGTTTGGATGTGCCTAATCAACGGTCATCCCTCGTCGTTTGGACGTCGCACTACTAGCCGTTTGCTCCTTGATAAATTCCGTGTTTTATCACCGGCGGCACTGGCA